TTGAGTCAATGACTTGTAGCGGCACTTATAAGACAGGGTAGAACTACCCTTCTGGGTTTCTGAGACTGTCGCTGTTTCCAGGAGTAGAAAGACCTCTTTAGAATATGAAAGAGCAAGGATGTTACTTTGAGGAGTAAGTCCACCTGACAAAAGTCATGGTCTTCTCCATTGATGCATGTGAAGGTTGGACATTGAATAAGGAAGACCGTAGAAGAATCGATTAACTTGAATTGCGATGCTGGAGAAGAATATTGAAAGTATCATGGACTGCTAAAAGGACAAACTGATCTGTCTTGGAAGAAGTACGGCCCGAGTGCCCCTTAGAGACAAGGATGGTAAACTTCATCTTAACATATTGTCAGAAGAGACCAGTTCCTGGAGCAGGACATCATGTTTGGCAAAGTGGAGGAGTGGAGAAAAGGCGGGAGGCCTCGACAAGAAGGATTGGCACAGTGGCTGTATCAATGGGCGCAGGAACAATGATGAGGATGGCGCGAGACTGTGCAGGGTTTGGTCTGCTGTGTATAGGGTCGCTAAGGGTCGGAGCTGACTGGATAGCACCCAACAACAACAACAACAACAGTAGAGAGTTGATAGAATTTGCAGAGTGAATTCACAGTATCATCTTTTGTCTAGGTCTTTCCCACTCCTACCCGCTTCCTTTCCCCCAGTTTCACCACCTTACTCTGGGAATTACCTTGCTGCCTTGGGCCTTTGTATCCAAGACTTTGAATTTTACTGATTGTAGTCAGAGTATGTGATCTTGATAATAGCAATTATCAAGATTATTTGGAATTTTTAAGACCTCCTTTTGGCTGATTGCATTTTTTCTAAATGTTTCCTTTGGGCTTAACAACAAAATATATTCCACAATTACTTCAAGGAGCCCTGGTGGCATAATGGGTTAAAGGTAGGGCTTCTGACCATGAGGTCAGGAGTATGAAACCACCAGCTGCTCGGCAGAAGAAAGCTGAAGTTTTCTGCTTCCACAAAGGTTTACATTCTTGGAAGCCCACACGGGCTGCCATTCGACTCTGTCCTATATGAATGGGAAAGCAATTGGATGGCAGAGAGAGGGGCTTTTTTTCTTCTCACAATTGCCTCTAGATTTTTATATTATCGTCAAGCTTGTACTAGTCAAATCTCCCCCTGTGGCCATGGATTTGTTGGTATTTGCCTTGTGCTTCAAGGAGGCCTGGTTTACCATCTTTTTGTTGGGCTGTTCCTTATTTCAGTAGGAACGTTCCCTCTCCATGCCTTCCATTCCCCTGGTCTGAAATTGGTAGCAACAGGTCAAAGGTCTTGAGACTGTGGCCCATCCCTTGTATATTCAACTCTTTTTTTTTTCTCTTCTGTTTTTCTTATGTTTCATCGGTGCTTCATTTATTTATTTTCTAATCATTTTATTAGGGGCTCATACAACTCTTATCACAATCCATACATACATCAATTGTGTAAAGCACATTTGTACATTCATTG